CCTATCCATAAAGATGCACACTAAGCAGGAAAGATGTTTCTAACTGAGGTATCTTTTACCCAGGAAACTCAAGTTCCCTAAAAACACAGAATAGCATGCTCTCTCTAACAAGGCTCGAGCAGAGGAGACTGAGAGGGAGCCTAATTCACATCTTCAAAATCTTCCAGAATCAACTGTGAAACATGAACCAGGCGACACAAGTGTTAAGACTCCATTGGGAGTACATTTAAAACTGAGAACAGGCTTAATCTCTTCATACAGAGGGTCGCGGGGGTCAGGGACAAGCCACCCAGCCTCTCTTATGTTCTGTATCGTCTGAAAGACTATCCCCAGAACATGAATAGGAGAGCAGTGAGGACAAGCTGCAAGGGACGAAGGCAGAAGTAACAGGGCAAAACTGATTGAATTATAGTACCTTCCCCATTCCTGCCTTATCAAACTAGATGTCAGGGGAACCTGCTTGCGGTAAAACATTGTCTGAAGATGACTGTAAGAACTCTGCCTTTCCCTTGTGCATCAGAGGCACTGGGATAAGAGCACTGGTTCAATAACTCTGATGTCAAAAGCTCTTGTCCAGAAGGCATTAGTCCAGCCTTAGGGAACAGAGTTGTTGACATCTGTGGTACTGACTCCATTAGACTCTTTTAATCATTATGCTTAGTAGCAGTCTGGAGTTTTCTGGGTGACCAGAATGTTAGGCCTCTGAAATGCCTTGTTTGTAAATACTGTATATAGAGTAATTTGTGTGTTGTATGTTTTTGTTGCGTGCCATGTAGTTTGTGTCTTGTCATTGTAATGCATATTTACAGTTCATCACTGGGGTTGCTCTCCCATCCATCCAGGATATGTGTGACAGATGGTGCTTGAGGAAAGCTCTAAGCATCATCAAAGACCCCACACATCCCAGCTACAGACTGTATGACCCTCAACCATCTGGAAAACAGTACCAGAGCATTCGGGCCCGGACTACCAGACTCAGAGACAGTTTTTATCCCCGGACTATCAAACTATTAAACTCCCAGCCTCTCTCACCCACGATCTGAACCCTCACAGTGCCTTCTCTCTTTATCAAAACTCAAACACACACTGAAATCTACCTCTACCTCACATGTCTAGAAGCTCACTCCCCAGAAATTTCTATCCTTTATTTCATTCTGTTGATCTATGATATTGCACATTGCCTGTTGTCTCTGTCTTTCTTTCCTACACAATTGTCTATACAATTGTATTGTTGTTGTTTTTCTGTATTTCCTACCGTCAGAGCTAGCTAAATCGCGTATACCTGTATATGAGTATAACGACAATAACCTTGAACTTGAACTTGACCAAGTGTGCCTGGATTATTATTCCTCTCAACAAAGCAGTGCCAGAGAACAAGGAATTCATGAGACTCTAATTATACCAGCCGCCCTGGTATACAGTATTGCTAGAAAATACTGACAAGTTGGGGATGATAAATAATTTCACTTATTGAGTAAACCGCTCGGTCTAATCCTTATTTTCACAAGTTTTCTAACTCCCCCCCCCATTTGTAACAACTGGAAGTTGTCGCTCACTTACTTCCTCTGTGTAGATGTATAAAACGCTTGTGCTGCACAAGATTTGCGGAGCTGTGTCTGTGGAGCTGCTGAGATGAGAAGCTGTTTCATGCCACTCCTATGTGCCTCATCTGTGCTGCTGCTCTGCAGCTCGCTCATCTGTGTCTCGTGGGGTCTAGGTAAGTCTGGAGCTTCTTGTCTTTAGTGCACAGCAGAGTGGTAAAGAACAAACTGACATCCAACCTTTTCTCTTACCGGTTTTAAAACATTAAGCAGGCAATAATATTAAAAAACACAGAATAATACACCAGCATTAGTGTTTTGTCTTGAAAAGGTGCAAGATCTGGAAACATGAACAAAATGCACACCAGCAGTGCATTTGTCTATATTTCAGAATATTGCAAGAGCACATTGACGCGTACTGTTATAGCACGTGCAAATTACAAGTTTAGCAGGAGCTTGGAAGATATTTTATTTGAATGAATGTTTTAATTTATGCTTTCAGTTCCAGTGCATCACATTTTTTTTCTGTCTGTTTTAGCAAATTTCAAAATTAAAATGGAATTGAAAAGTGTAAATATGCTTTCAGCGCACTCTTGTTGTGCTTTTCTGTATGTGTGATTGCACAGGGTGGGCAAGTTAACCTTGGTTAAAGATTGAAAGCAAAAGGTTTATAAATTACATGCTTGTTAATCATTTTCCTTTAATTTGCCACATGCCAATATTAACACTGTGTATTCGCTTTTTCATTAAGTCCCTCTTTCCCCAAATCACTCAAGAAGAGAGGGGACCACAACAAAACATCCCCAATCCAGCTTGCAGTTTCAAACTATTCCTGCTAAACTGTCGTTCTGGGGTCACCTGGGGTCCTGGGAGAGCACTGTGCTCACAGGTCCTCAGTGCATCTGGACTGTTAACACCATGAATAGGCTCAGTACTGATGCCCAGCTCCTCGGGTTCAGAAAGTGACCTAAAAAACCTGCAGAGACACCAAACCAGGATTGCAGACACCTGCTATGCAGTAGAACGTTAAGAACACCAGCTTTTAAAAAAAGTATTAACAATAATTAGAACTGTTTACTGTTGATTGTTGATTACTGATTAGTACTATTACTGAATGTGCACATACTGTACCAGAGTACCTTTCAGATTTCAGAAGAATATAAGAAGGGCTACAAACAACAGGAATCATTTGGCCTGTCTAGCTCATTTGCTGAACAGTAGCTAACAGATCCCATTCTGGAGTTTTTTTAAAAGAGTCAATGGTATCAACTTCAACCACATGGCTGGGCAGATTGTTCTACACTCCCACAAGCCTGTAGGAAAAGACAATTAAAGCCTCCTGTTCTGGGCTTTAAACACTGTTGACTCATCTTTCCTTTGTTTGTTATGTTTTCTTATTCCAAAATTTGTGAAATTCTTTCAGGTCTCCAGGATGAAATCACACCGAAGGAGGTGGAGTTCCACTCCGTTGACTATAAAAATGTCCTGCACTGGAAACTGCTCAAACCCCTTCAAGGGAGGCCTGTTTATTTCGTGCAGTACAAAATGTGAGTACCTGCTCCCCTGCAAAAAGGAAACCAAAGTGGAAGAATTGCTAAAGATGAGCAATTTATTTGTAGGTTCAAATAGGAAGAGAATATTAGATCAAAATATTCCAATAGACTCAAGTAAGCAAAATGTGAAGGTCTGAAAGAGCTTGAGCTCAAATAATAAGTTTGGTATTTTATTGCAAAAATATAATAAGTGCTTCTCCAGATTTAAACCCAGGCCCAGGTTCAAACCACCAGTCTCTTAACTAGACAAACCAGCTTGACTCCCTGTCACCGGAGGTGCTGCCTAGAGGAAGGACATTTTTTTCCCCTTCCTTTATTATCATCTCCAAGGCACTGGAAAGCCCCAGAATTCCCAGTCTTACTACTGCATAATCAGATCCAAATGCTGCTTGCATTTGATTAGCCAGTCCTGAACATGATACCCAATCAGATCTAATGTGTAGCTGCTCTTTAAACAAGCCAGACCTGCTAAGCTTTCTCTGGACTTGGAAACTACAGTACCATGTTGATTTGTCTGTCTAGTTCTGAATTTTACTCAGAACTCCGTACGTTCTGCAAAACAATGATGCTTGTTGCCACACTGGGTTTAGCATCACTGGTCCAGAGAGAGGAGTGTCATCTGATATCACATCCAGAAAAAAGCAGCTGTGCTTTCATCAACCTCAGTAAAACACAGTGTCAGTCATATAGCCACGCTATACCTCCAAGCTGGTATGAAACAAAACACACATCAAACTGCAAAACCCCAAACTGGGATGTTCTATAATATATATATATATTTTTTAAAAGGTAGGAAATGTAAAAGGAAACTGGATGTTTCTAAATACTCTGCGTCTCCTTCCTCTGCCTTCCTGGTTCCACAGCTATGGGCAGAAAAAATGGGCCAACGCCGTCCACTGTCTGGGCATCACGGAGCCGCACTGCGACCTGAGTCAGGAGACCTCTGACCGGCGGGAGTGCTACTACGCCAGGGTTCAAACCGCCCTGGACGACACCCTGTCACCCTGGGTGATCAGTCCGAGATTTGTTCCACAATGGGAAAGTAAGCATCGGTGCTAACTGGCAATGTTTTTCGACAAAGTGGGGTTTTGCTGATGGTGGCGTAGTCATTAAAATGCCGGTCATCTCGGTGTCTGTTTTCTCTTAGCGTCCCTCAGTGCTCCTGTGATAAAGCTCACTGCAAGAGAAAGCGCCATTCTGGTCCAGTTCAAGGCTCCACGCTCCCCGTACAGGAGAAGGAACGGCTCTTGGATATCAATGAAGAGGCTCCACCAGCTGACTTACAGGTTATACGTCATGAAGGACAACATGATTCAGGCGAGTGACCACTCTGTGGCCCAGACAGTGTATAACTGAGGCTTCAAGTTCTTCTAGAACATAGGAATAGTGACACAGCACTGAACTGAACTTCCATATCCTTGATATCACAAACTGGGGGGGGGTTCACTTGTTTAGTCCTTCACCTGTGATATTATACCGAAATGTGAATGAACCAAGACAGGCCAAGGACATGATTGAACTGGTTTAAGGCGAAGTGATCAACTTAAAGCCAGAGAGAAAAATAAGGTGTGAGTTAAGCCAAAAGAATGATTTTATCATGAGAAAAAAGTCTCCTGCTGATGACAGCCCCTGCCCTTGACTAGATTTAACTATAGGCATGAATCTGATCTTCATTTTCCTATACAGCATAGTTTTTCCGAAATGTTTTTTTCACATTTGAAGAACTACCCTTTCAGCATCTCATTTCAGAAATTCACATTTTTTGTCCATTTTTATATAGACAAAACGAGAAGTTGTTTTTGGTATGAAACAAGCCTTAGCACTCAAGCCCAGGAGAATTTATCTACATCAGCCCCATCATTTGAGTTTTTCCTCTGGGAGATGGGAACAAAATGCTGTCATCTCCTGCGGAACAACTCACTCCCAGGAAACAGATCAGTCCTCCCATGCTCCTCGACTTGACCTGATGACTCTTGGCGGGGCTGCTGTGTCTCCCGGGAGGAGAGACAAGAGCGTCAATCTAAGAGCGTGCAGCTCAGAAAGCTCACGAAATATGTCATTGCAATCATAGCCGGTCATCACAAATTATATTTTAATGAAACGCATTACTACCAGCATTGTAGACAGTCTGACGCCCAGATGGCATCGTCTTTGCCTTTGTAAACTCAAGTCTCTTGACCTCAGCTCATTTAGTGGAGTGCGGCCCCACCTGGGTGACACGGAACAGTCACACTGCACCAGCAGCCTCAGTGCACACCAGGGGGAGGAGCTTCACCATTTGGATTAAAGGGGAACTTCAGGGAAACCGGTCACATGGCCGGAGTGGAATTTAGCCAGGACACTGGGGTTCACACCCCCAGACTTTCGTACATTGCCCATTGCCATGGATCTCTACTGGCCTTGTATGAATGGCAGTACCTCCTGCAGCAACAGTGTCTCCAGTCGTAATACCAGGGCTGTGATGTGGAAATTCTGCTCCCGAGGGAAGAGCGCCCCCTATCCTCTCTGTTATTCTGCACTTCCATAATTTCGTTATCTTTTTGTGTGTGTTTGTATTGTATAGGCGAAGCACGTTCTGGGAAGGCCTGTAAGAAAAATACTGATCGTCAACCTGAAACCCAAGACAACCTACTGCGTGCAGGCTGAGGCCAAAATTCAGCTGCACAACCGAACCAGCAAGAGAAGCAAGAAGGCTTGTGTCATCACTCTCTGAGGTGAGTGAGTAACACCGAAGCACAGTCGAACAGGATACGGCTACATTTCAGGCAGGGAGCTGCGTCTGCACGCGTAGGCTGCAAAGGTACAGGTGAAGGTTTATTCCCTGCTGAAAAGAAAAGAGACACAACGTTTTGGCTGTAGAGGCTTCTTCAGATATGGTGGTGTGAAACACTGTCTCTCTTTTATTCTCCTTTCAGCATGAAATAAATCTTCACACTGATATTTAATACTTTCCGTTCCACATTGACGTCTGCTGTATTTCGTATATAGGTATTTCAGGGGGAAAGCTAGCTTTAGCAATATGGGCAGGCAGGCGTTTCAAACCTTAACCAATTCACTAGGTTACTTCCAGTACGACGACTCCGATCGATTGGGATCGTGGCCCAGCTTTTCTCTTGGTGCTCTAATGTGGTCCTTGTTTTTAACAGGTTCTAGAGCTTTGAACTGGCACCTAGCTCCGCAGAATCCCAGGAAAATTCATCATGGCTGGCTTGAAACGGGACCGACAGGACAAGACCTAACTGCCACTTTCACCTCCATCGCTGCACTGCTTGTGTCACAATAAGTGTTTGATTTTTGGATTATGTTTGGTCATGACATTTAAGTCAAGTTGCTGTATTCTGTCTAAACCTGGAATAACATTCTAAAAGTTGCATTTAACTCAATGAGCCAAGATAAAGAATGTAGTACAAACATGAATATTTTCATCACACATGAACAGCCATTTCATAAAATCCCATGTTAAACCTTTGATTACCAGCCATAGCGCCAAAACAATTTCAGCATTTTCTGAACTTGCGTGTCTGTTTAGGTTTCCTTAAAACTTAAAAGATGCTTTTTGAAAATTTTACAAAGTGGTTGGCCATAATTTTCCAGCTTGTGTGCGTCAGCAAAGGTAGGGGATTTTAATAAAGAAAGCAGCTGGACTAGAAAAAAAGTGCTTTCCTTTTATTTCAGTTAGTGTTGCCAGTAACTGCACAGGAATCTCACTAGGAAAGTGAAACATGGCTGTGGAATCACAAAGCAGAAGAAATTGGAGCCCTATTTAAGTTTTCAGGAACAGGAACTGTTTTCAATTTGTATTTCACACACTCCATATTAGGACAGTTATGAAAGACGATTAAAAGTGTTTTAAGTTACTACACTTTTGTGATATTTCTACACATGGAGCTGTCAACTGTTAAAACCATTTCCAAGCACTGTATGTATGTACAGACCTGCTCTGTTCACGTACTATAGTATGTGAGGTCTATGCAAAATTGACATGAATGCATCTCAATCAGGAAAAAAAATGCTTATAGATTAAAAGTATGTGAAAAAAAACTCATTTTTTTGGAACACCTTTATTGACGTTTCACAGAGTAACTCAAAAGGAAGTAAATGTATGTTTGTTTCCTCATTTTGTAATTAAATTGTATAAATCTGTTACAGAAATAGTGTCAAACATGGTTTGCACCAGAATGCAGATACTGTAATTGGCGAAACAACATTAAACAAAGAAAGATATTGTTCACTTACTGTATGCGACTAACACTTGATTTCATGGAAAAAAGGTCACCAGTGAAAACTAAGAAATTTCAGGAATACCTCTGTCACTGCTTTGTCTTCAGTCAGGAGCTGTGTTGTTTTTCAAAGTTCTACAGCTCAGTGTTCACGTGTTCACTAAGCGCAGGTGCAATATTGTCTGCTTTAAAAAAATATTTATTCAAATTTCAAAATGCTAAGGAAGTCCAATTTTGGGTCACAAAGAACAGTTTAAGGATCCAATCTCATTTCTATTTGCAGAGAAATCATTTTTATACAGAGTAGGTATAGGACAGCATAGATATTTAAAAATATAAAGAGCAAATATGAACAAAGAGATAGCTAGATTTCACAGTCCCAGGTATTGTCAAATACTGAAGTTTCAGTCCCTATAACAAAGCTGAAGTATATAGTGATCAGCCCATATTATCTATGTACTTTCCGTAAATATGGACTGATGCAGTTTACAGTGTACAAAAATATTTAGAAATATCCGCAAATCAAGAGAAATTCTAGCATTTCGCAACATTGCGTAAAAAGGGGAAAGATGTTTCATAATTATTGCTAGTACCACAATTCAAATGGTGAAACAAATTAATTTTCCTCTGAGTGAAATGCACATCTCTGGAATCACAACAGGGGGCGCTCTTTCCTTGTCTTTTGCTTACTCCCAGGCCTAGTGTCTGACATGCTGTACAATTTAAAATCCTATAGCGCTACGGTACCCAAGCCTGAGAGAATGAGAATTGTTCCCTGATCTACAGTTAAGTCACTTTGCAGACACATTTATACAAAGTGACAGAGAAGAGTGGATCTTCAGGTTCACTGATCACAGCACCCTGGATGTAGATCTCATCTTCAGGTTGGAGCACAAGGGGTGGGGGGGGCTGCCAGACTGCTCTGTAGCACAACTGGTGGTTGAATGGAGAACTGTATTACACAAAGCCCTTTATTTTAACCACTGGACCAAGCACCCTCCTTAGGAAGCAGAAGAAACTAGCAAAATGTTGTAAAAAATAAAAAGGATCACTGACTTGTTTTTAAGCTCTTACTCAGGAAGTTTATTGTTCTGCAAAAGCACTTTATGGTCAGACCTTAAAGCAGATCTAGAGATGCTACGTTTTAGAATAGGTTATTCAGCTGAACAGTCCAACTGTGACAAAGTGAGTTCGGTTTGCCCACCCCTCAGATATTGCATCATAAGAAATTCAGCCTTCAGCCACTGAACATACTCCCCAGACACAAAGAGCCAGAGGCTGAAGGCTGTACTCTTACTCCTAAAACACCCCTGTAGGTGGCAGGATGCATTTCACAAATCTTTTCATTATCTCAGGAAAAAAAACAACATTTGCAATCAGAACAATTGAATGTTTCATTTCGTTTTACAAAAGTAAATATCATCTTATAAAATTTGCACATTTTAAAAAATATTTAAAAAACTAACAGATAACTGGTAGAGCATAAAAGAATAATTCATGTAGTTTAGTGCATAAGATTTCCTCAGTAGCTAGCAACTCTTTTCAGAGAAAGTCTGACTGGAAGCTGTATTATATAACGGCTTTTTTCACATAAACAGTACAATTTGAAAAGGTAATTTTGTAGCACCTGGTATAAAACATTTCAGCACATCTCAAAACATGATTTCACTGTGACAAAAATATAACAAAATTCCAATTACTCTGCTTTGAAATTGAACACACTCAGCAGGCTAAATACACTTAAGTTGCCAAACGTGTAAAATGTGAGCTTACAACTGAGTCAGGACAACATTAATGGAATGCAGAAATTGATGCACTACAGTAACTAATAGTATCGTGCGATACTGCACCAACTGCAGATATAGAAAAGAAAAAAGTATTTAAGCACCACACAATGTTGAGAATTCTGAAAATTTAATTTTAAAGTAGATCATTTGGTATTGAATAAAATGCATTTTAGTAAAAATGCTTGATACCGTCACTGTGAAACACTCTCTCACAGGGCACACCAGTTACAGTGGTTACAGTGATCTACAATTTCCAGTTCTGTACTTTCACGCTCATGAGAGCGCTTCGGTGCACGTGACAGACAGAATGCTCTAAACTGCAGAATTGTTCACTATGCTCCACCTATTTCAGTTTTATATTCCTCGTGTCAAAAATAATGTTTGTGAGCTCGCTAAAAACAGCAGGTCAAGTACCCTTACTTAAAAAAGTATAATTTATACATTCAATAAATCTAGACCATTTATAGCAGCTGGTAGGGCGATTCTAGGCTTCCGTTTTGAGAAAACCACTTGGACAACCTAATACCTGTTACAAATGTTTTTGTTATTAGCTTTCCTTTCAACTCTGCCCAAAATAAGTCAAGTCAAACAACTCAAGATACTGGAGGCGATCGTGGCTGTAGCTTGTCCTGGTAACAATGAACACTGCGGTAGCTGCAAACATAATCTCCTTCTGGTTCAATCAAAGCACTGGATAAAAATAATTAAATCATTACAACCATGCCGCCAGAATTTCAGTTAAAAGCAGAGCGCTCTGTTTTAAGTTTCAGTCCCATCATTACTACTACACATGAAACCAAACCCAATCTAGGACAGCACATGTAGAAACGCTCGGCTTTCAGGCTTTCGGTTACAGTAGTATGGACCACAATTTCATCTGAAAATGGAATGTGCATTTAAATTAGATTTCACTTTGTAGTTTTTGCTGGAGAAGTAAGCCTTGAGCTTTTCCACTCTAACTATACGGACATAAATAATAAGGACCTTGGACAAAGAAAGCTCTCTTCAAGTCTGCAGCTCCCGCCTGTGTCTTCCAACAGGCTTGCGCGTTGTCAGACTGACACATCCAAGGGGAATCTGTGCTACCGACAGGAATGTGAGGCAGGCAACCGTCTAAGACAAGAACTCCTTTTCCAGTTCGTACACCGCAGGTCTCCCGGGCTTGCTCTGGATCCTGCAGAGAGGAACCGTGCAGTCCCGTTTCTGTCCCTCTGTGTCCATGTCCAGCAGGGAGCAGGCCCCCGGCACCACCTGGGCTTCAGCCTGGAGTAAAATGTCGAAGGTCTGCGCGCTCTTCTCCCCCGAGAAGGGTCCCAGCGAGTAGCTCTTGTTGTGGCCTCTCAGCAGGGCCCAGGACGGGACTTTGCTCTTCAGAGCTAGGGGCCGAGGCCTCGACACGCCGTCCGCAGAGCTCGGGAAGTCGGGCCTGTCCTGCCTCTCCCTCAGCGCCACTGCTCCTGGGCTCGCTGCCTGGACTAATACTGCTGAATCTGTGAGCGGGCTGGGGACGCCGTTAGCTTGGGAAGACAAAAACAGCAATCAGCACGAGTCCTGTGACCTGTCATACCCTTAGGACTGATTTCATGGGTGGAATTCGGGATTCTTTAACAGGTTTCAAGTGTGCACAGGCAGGTTCTGTGTACTGCTGCTGAGGAAGTGTTCTGGGGTCGTTCAGTTTTACACTGCTAACTCTCTTAGCCTTGCACACTGCAGCAAAATAAGAACGCAACCAGCAGCCATATCACTCTGCAACTCACACCTGGCAGCCCACTGAAGCTCAGCAGGTGTGAGGCTGCTCAGTACCTGGATGGGAGACCTCCTGGGAAAAACTAAGGCTTCTGGTGGAAGAAGTGTTAGTGGGGCC